AAGAGAGGGACAAGATTGAGGCAGACACGTGAGAGAACTGCATTCTGGGGAAATATCTAATTTAGGTAAAGATCCTCTGCTTGATTCGTTTCGCGACCAACTGTTGGGCATTTCTAGCCACGCTTCTAGAACTGAAGGTCCTTCTACTAGTAACCCCCGGGAACACACCAATCCTCGGCACATGCCATTCACCCAACCCTCTTTAAGTCTCAAAGCGGGTCTTGTGTTCCGTGGGATGACACCGGCATCGGTTGAGCCGGGCTGAGTTGTGTTCCCCACCGAACTGTCGAGGTAGCCAGGCGGACTCATGAACTGGAGATGGGAGGGGGGGCGCGTGAGGGGCCAATAGTGGTCGACAGTCAAGCTCGGATCTCTTAATAAGATACACCTGGGCAGAGAAAAATGGCTCAATGGTTGTGCAACTATAGCACAACAAATTACCTACCGGTAGTCTGTCGAAACAGTTCTCCCTGACTCCATTTGGTACAGTACTCATACGCTGAGTGTTGGTAATTGGCAATATACCTAGCCTCGCAGTCCCACGGACTCGTACTAGTAGCATTAAAGGGTTTAAATATTTTATACGTGCATATGTGTACCATTTTTATTCCAGCTACTGAAAGCGGGCTCCCTCCGGATTCTTAGGGAGGGATTAATCATGTGAAATCACTCGCTGTTGAGACAGCATTGCCTAACCATGAATATATTTAATTATCCTGGATACAACGGAGGGTATAAATCGATAAAGTACTTAGATTGTAATAGAGAAATGATGGTCCCTGCATCTACGATCCTTCCCAGCCCGCAATAGCTCCAGTACAGAGTCCGCTACCAAATTTGGATAGACTTAAGTTGTGGAGAAATCCCTGGGTCTAGCTTCCTTGCCTCACTGGGATTTACCTCAAGCCCGAGCTAATGGTCTTGATTATTACTCTTCGTTGTGCTCCCGATAACATATTCAAATGCAAATACACCTTCGTCTCCAACATCTGGAGGGAGGAAATCCGACAAGATTGCCAGAGTGAAGTGAAACTGAAATGGGTATCATTGCTTAGAGGTATTTGTGGGGCTTGACCTATTTGGCACCTAGGTATCATATACCTGTTGCGAGTCTTGGCCCCTGGCAGAGCGGTAGGGTGGTGGGCTGCGAGCCATAGTATCACCAGGAGATGGCAGCTCTTGCGGTGCTATGGGGGTCAGTCAGAGCATACCTGAAGCCAAGGGACAAGACCTGCCGGGGTAAGGTAACATAGGGAGAATCGAAGCGCAGGCTTCAGAGAGCTATTTCTGAGCTTAAGCCAGGATAACCAAACACTGCACCTGACCTCCTCAATCGGTAATTACCATGGCCGGCCTAGAAATAACAGGGAGGCTACTACCGACCTACCAAAGTGCCAACGAGAGTATTGGAAAAAAAATGGGAGGGTAAAACTAGCCGCGGTGAGCTTGCATTTGGATACAGGCAATATCGGAAATACCATGAAGCAATGGTCGGGCTCTCTCCGGTGGGGGTTAGGGTTATGGAGTCGAAGTCGCCGGCGAACTTTATACCATAGGCTGCCACTTGAGAAATTCCTCCACCCCGCATTGAGAAGGGATTCAAAAGGGAAAAATAAATGTGTTTGTTCTTTTAGTTTTTGCTTTTAGCACTATAGCCCGCGCGCATGATAAGTGAGATACATTGCTTTCCACGAAACCTTTGACAGCTGAAAAAAGAACGCTGGGCAGGCTTAAGATTGAACTCGCGGTCACACTCTGCTCATAGGTGGAAGGTTGCTGCACCAGCGCTGTCAGGTATTGATCGCCAATACTAGCAGGGTGAGCAGGGTCTGCAGAGTTCGCTTAAGAGGGACGGATTTGTTTTGCTCTAGTGAATCGAAATTTGCTGGCGTCATCTTTTGTTATGGGCCTCAAGGCCCCACCGATGTCTATTCCCAGCACATGAAATTTTTATCCACACCTGCTCTTGTTGAATATATTTCCACTTGCACCAAGTCATTGACACTATGCCCACCCTTGAGGATCGGTTTCATATACCTCTGGCAAGGCGCTAGCTCACGTGGAGAGCGTACTTCGAGAACTAAAACTTAGAAGACACCCAAAGGATTCAATTACTGCTAGGGGGTATCATATTAGCATTATCTCTAGCGTTTTCTACTCTATAGTTTCGTCCTCCACCAAACCCTAACCCCTAGAAGCGGCGAAACTCAAACTTCATGGAGTAACCCACAGCTGCATATTTAAACACAACACTTCCACCTACCGTACTTCTCTTCTTTCCTTAGCTCTCTTTACCTTTTGATGAGTTCCCCGAAACTTCCCGCCGTCCCATTTAAGCGATACTAACTATGGAACAGGCTTAAATCAAGTGTAGTATCTGTTCCTTTCAGTTTAACCCCCGAAACGGCTTTCCGGAGCCTGTTCGTTGATTACTCCTATTTTCGTTTGCCCCGGGATCTTGCCTCTGGCATGCTATCCTTGGTCTCCACCGTGTCGCTAGTATTGCACCGTCCCTGGCTGATGCGAAGAACTCTTGATATCATTGTATTGTTTTCTGGCATCTGTGCGAGGGGCTGAGGCAATGATGCGTTATACTCCGGGTTGTTCTGAAGGCAAAGGAGCGATTTGTGTGGTCAGGGTCATATCAAAACGGTCGGTATTGGAGTTGTAGCTCCAATAAATTTCACTGTGGAAGTTGGGCACATGTAATGGTAACATTTCAGAATGGATTATCACGGGGGTCCCCGTATTTGCGCGCCGAGGTAGATCTGATATGTTCCCTGTAACTGGCTGACCCCTCTCTCCAGTAACAACGGACCAGCTACGACACGACCTCATTCTTGTGACAATGCACATAATTTCCATCACCATACAGACTCTCTCGATGATCTGATTAACCTACAGTAGGGAACTGGGCCGGCCCATAAGCTATATGATGGCTCAGCGACGCCGGAATGGAAGGCACGGTTGACATAGGGCTGATATTGCAGTTCCACCTGGCACTTAGAATACCATCTCACATTAGCGAGATTGGCGGTATCGAGCAGTTGGGGCTAATCTGTGTGATATGATGGTGATTATCTATTGTAGTATGATAGGGCATATAGTAGTTCCAGACCCAACAGGTTCCTCAAGGTGTCGGAGGTGTCGGGGTAGCGGTAGACGTGGACTGAACCGTACTTGGGGCCCGGATAAAATCCGTGGACATTGGGGCAATGTTTGTCAACAAGCTCGATAACAAAATTGAGTGTGGCGGGCTGGCCAGAAAAGAAAAAGGTTAGAATTTACCTTCATGTGCATACGGCCTATAAACTTCATTCCCATCCCTTCAAAATTCCGTCCACAGACTAAGAAAGGTACTGCACGAGTACTGTTGTCCATAGCATTGAACATGTGGCGGTTTTTGTTCAGGGAGGGACCCAAGATTGTACCATACACTATGTGGGGCAGGCTGAGGGGACCTAGTAATTTTAAAAAAAAGGCCTATAATGGTGCATCGGATGTGAGTGGGCCCTGAATGAGCATGGGAATGGGAGCAGAAGCTTTGGTTGAAAACCGGAGATGCCTGGAGAGGACAAACCCTCAATCTGCGCATTGGGCCGGATTTGAAGTGGAAACTTGGCGGCGATTTGGGTGATGGAAATTATTTTGTGGGGGTATCCCACTTGTAAGTTATATCTGGGTACTTCATTTGAGGAGGGTTCGCTTTGGTGATGTAAAAGGAAGCGGTTGTTTTGAAAAAGGTTTAGTTGGCATCTGCCCATCACCTTATGCGCTGACTGGGAGCATCCTGTCGGATTGATTTTATGCCGGTTGCACACATGTCCCGCTGTGGAAGAAGATACTGAGTATATGCAAAGGCCTCCCCCCCGGGCGAGGTCTGTCAGACCTATTTATCATACTAGGGCCATTCGATAGGTCCAGGGCTTGTATTCCTGGTAGACTACCGGTAACTCTGGCCAACCGAGCGATGCAAGGTGAGTGTCTACAATTACCGCACAGTGTAGTACAACTGCAAGCACTCGTGCAGTCCTATGTGCTATGAATCTGCTTCACGGTCGCCGGGCTCTGGCGATTGTTTCGTGTGTCCAGCGGAAAAGAGTGAATATCCACACAAATACGGTACTCGCGCCCTTGGCACCCAAACCTTCCCTGGTCCAGATCTCAACCGAGGCGGGCCCAATCGCCTGTCCAAGCTTACATAGAGCTGAATGAGGGGTAAAACACGAGATACATTTTTATTTTCCTCACTCGGAACGCCTCCCGTCCCCCATCCAACCCCTCTTCTGGTTTCTTCTTTCTAGGTTCCCACCTCAATTTCTAAGCCTTAGTATACGCCAAACGTTTCGCCCCTGCTCCAGCCCACAACCGAACCGAAACCGAAGAGCTATTCATTTCCATATCAGGGGGTTAGAACCGTGCCCGAGCATACCAAACCTTATCGACCTACCATATTCTTTCAAGTTGGCTTAGGAACGGATAGTCTTCGATTATTTCCGTCAACGACAGGAGGGCCGCCATTTTCGTTTCAATCAAGCGAGCTATAACTTATTAGCAAGGTATCCAACCTTCGAACATGGCTTCCCAGCAAGCTAAAAATATTCTCAAGCCGATGGATGGGTGGGTATCCCTATCCTTCTATTCCGCAGCTCTAATAATCTTTGTAGGGTTAGTCAAGTGCGATCCGCTGTCGACGGGAACTTCAGTGGGAATACGGGTAACCATAATGTCATTGGCCATGGCAACATTGTCGTTAGTATACAGACATCCCGCGATATGTCAAACCTGGGAGGGGCTAATGAAGGGCAGGAAATGGGAGCGGGGGGCGGAGGTATTAGCGTTTCTCCCCACATTTCCATCCCGAAGCTAACGCGCTATTAGAAGCGAGAGAAGCGTATGGGCCATATTGGATGGTTCCCTATTGCAGGAACGGTGCATTTACTGGCCGAAAGGGTGTCATCGAGTCGCTAAGAGAAGTTTGCAAAGGTGGGGCTCATAACAGAGTCGCACTCCAGGGGTTGGGGGGTTGTGGGTATGTATTTGGTGCTCCCTTGTACTTGTAGAAATTTTGCTAATATCACTTAGAAAAACCCAGATTGCTCTAGAATACATTCGCCAGCGTTCCAGTGAAGGACATTGTAATGTTTTTTGGGTGCAGGGAAGTGGGATATTGAAGTTTACGGTGGGTTTCAAGGCTATTGCACAGCATGTTCGAATCCCCCAAGCGGGGACTGAGAAGGACGAAGTGGAGTTGCTCCGGCGTACAAGGACATGGCTCGAAGGTCGCGATAGTGGCGACTGGATCCTAGTCATTGACAATGCCGACAATGAAGCCGACTTTATTGGAAACAATAGCCCCATTTCCAAGTTTGTACCACAAGGGCGTGAAGGGACTGTAATATTCACGACTAGATCTCGGCAGGTGGCGATTCGACAGGGCTGTAAGATTATCAAGGTTGGGGAGATGGAGCCGGAAGAGGCCCTTAGGTTGTTTTCAAAGCGGTTTGATAGCTGGCAGAGCTTGGGAGGTGAAGAGAGGAGGACGGTTTCAACGATCCTAGACTCGATGGGTCACGTACCGCTGGCTGTCGTTGGCTCAGCAGCTTTTATGGCTGAGAATGAGACATCACCCTCTGTTTACTGGCCAATCTTCCAGGAGAATGATAAGCGAGCAAAAGAACTGCTTTCTGAGCAGTTTTCCGAGATCCAACGCGAGGCCGACATGACCGAAAGTATCCTGGGTACCTACTTTATCACTTTTGACAGAATTACCGAACAAATGCCCCTGATGGTAAAGCTTCTGGGGCTGCTTGCGTCCATCGATCGGCAGAACATACCCAAGGAACTACTCACTCATTCTGGACTGGAGGGTATGGATGATTCGCTTAAATTTTGTCGGGCGATTGGGAAACTATTGAGGTTCTCACTGGTTACAGAATCCAAACTTGAAGGCACAACATTTTATGAGCTTCACCGTCTAGTCCAGCTCTCTATCCAGACATATCTATCGATAGAACAGAACAACCAAGGGAGGACTGTGGGACTGCGGGCTGTCTCAAGGCTGTTCCCTAAGTATGAGTACAAGCGGCGGAATATTTGTACAGCTTACATGTCTCATGCGCTGGTATTAACTAAGGAATCAACGGATACAATTTGTGAAGACCTTTTGTATGGCATGGGAAAGCATTATATGGAGATGGGCTCCTATAATAATGCCGAGATTCAAGTCCGGCAATGCCTTGCACTTCGAGAAGCGGATAAAGAACGAGACTGGAACGGTGACAACTACTCTTGTATTATTCTCTTAGGAGAGCTGTACAGGCACCAAGGAAGGGCGAGGGAGGCCGAGGTGATATTTCTTGAGGCGCTAAGGGAAGAGGAGAATACTTCCGGATTAGACCACTCTAAAACTTCGACGGCTGTCAGTAACCTGGCTCTGGTGCTACGGGACCAAGGGAGGTACGAAGAATCGGAGGAGATGCATCGCCGCGTATTGGAGGGTTACGAGAAATTTTTAGG